TGTTATGTTTACCTTTATGGTTATCATGTTTTGTTTAACCAACTCAGCATTTTAACCCTTGTGTGGTGTTTCACTCTGTTGTACATAGGATCGTTGTGAGTTGGAGCTGACTCGAAGGCACCTAACAACAACAGCAAAACATGTTAGCAATGGAAGTACAATTTTATGAGGCTATATAAACATGGTATTTACTGCAGCATTTATTGATAGTAGAAAAAACACTGAAATCAACTGAGTTAATAGTGGAATATTTGTATAAATTATGATATAGCTATAATAAGGAATATTGCACAGTATTTTAAAAAAGAACTAAACCTATAGATGTAGACTCATGATGTAATAAGAAAAAATAGTTGCAGAGTAAGGTGTATAAATGATCATATTTTTGTAAAACAAAATAATGATAAACCCCTCAAATCTTCTACATGTCCCCTTTTGGATGATCATAAAGCAGACAAAAGAATGCACAACTTTTATTCTTTCAGTAATTGAGGGGTGAGGGAGAAAACTTTAAAAAACAAAACAAAAAAATAGTTATTTCAGCTTGAGAAATGCTGAGTCTCTTCTTCCTTTTGGTTTTCTACCTCCAGGTCTTTGCACATTTCATTATAATAATTTACTTTGTCTTCTCAAGCTGCTCTTTGAAATCTTCTGTTAAGCTCTTTTATTTCAGCACTTCTTCCATTCACTTTTTGTTGTTGTTGTTGTTATGTGCCGTCGAGTCGGACCCGACTCATAGCGACCCCTCTTTGGGTTTTCGAGGCAGTATCACTACGGAAGTAGATTGCCCCATCTTCCTTCCAAGGAATGGCTGGTGGGTTTGAACCACTTCTGGTTAGCAGTCAAGTGCCTTAGCCACTACGCTACCAGAGCTCGATTCACTTTAGCTACTCTTTGTTCAAGAGTAAGTTTCAGAGTCTCTTCTGACATCCATTTTGTTCGTTTTTCCTTTCCTATCTTTCCAATGGCCATTTGCTCTCTTCCTGTATGACATTCTTCATGTCATCCCACAACTCATCTAGTCAACAACCCGTCTAGTCCACAACCTGTCTAGTTTTCAGTCATTGGTGTTCAGTGGTGTCAAATCTGTTTTTCAGATGGTCTCTAAATTCAGGAGGGATATACTCAAGGTCATATTTTGCCTCTCATGGCTAGTTTTAACTGTCTACAGCTTCAGCTTGAATTTGCATGTGAGCAATTGATGGTCTGTTCCACAGTCAGCTCCTGGCCTTGTTTTGGCTGAAGATACTGAGCTTCTCCATCATCTCTTTCCACAGATGTAGTTGATCTGATTCCTGTGTATTCCATCTGACAAGGTCCATGTGTATAGCCACCATTTATGTTGAAAAAGGTATCAGCAATGAATAAATCATTGGTCTTGCAAAGTTGTATCATGCTATCTCTAACATCATTTCTATCACCAAGGCCATATTTTCCACTACCACTGATTCTTTTTTGTTTCCAACTTTTGCTACAATCACCATTAATAATTAATACATCTTGATTGCATTTATGGTCAATTTCAGACTGCAGAAGTTGTTTTAAAAAAAGCCTTCAATTTCTTTATCTTTGGCTTTAGTAGTTGGTGTGTAAATTTGAATAATAGTAGTATTAATTGTTCTTTTTTGTAGGCGTATAGATATTATTCTATCACTGACAGCATTGTACTTCAGGATAGATCTTGAAACAGTCTTTTTGATGCTGAATGTGACACCATTCCTCTTCAATTTGTCATTCCCAGTGTGGTAGTTAAGATTGTGTCAACTTGGCTGGGCCTGGTTTTGAGTGGCTGGGCATTTGGTTGTATTTATTCCCCATGATGAGACTGGTAATCAGCGCCATGGTGGAATCTGCCATGGGCAGCTGAGTAGCTGTTTTAGGGATATAGTCTGCTTCCAGTATATAAGTAGCAGCTTTGGGATTGGTATGCAGCTTTTTGGCACACTTGGACCCTACATGTAGCCAAGTATCATTTAGCAGCCTGCCATGTTTCCAGCTGATCTTGGAACTGTCTCTGGGGTTGAATTAGGGGCCTACCATGTTTGCTAATATTCGGACTGTGCCATTTTATTTGTTGACCTTGTTAGCCTCAGCAGCCAGCATCTGCCTGAGTGAAGAGACACCTTTAGCTCCAGTGGGCCAAGAGCAAGAGGCAGAGCTGAAGCCTAATGTCAAGGGGCTTTCACCCAGCCCCTAGAGATTGGCATTTTGAAGTCAGACTTCTGGCCTCCAAAACTGTAAGAAAATAAACCCTTTTGTTAAATCCACCGATTTGTAGTATTTTCTGTTAGAGTGGCATGAAGTAACCACACCACCTAGCATAGTACACCATATGATTGATTCAAATGGCCAAACTAGTCCAGTTCAGCTCATTGATGCCTAGGATATGAATCGCTCTGTGTTCCATTTCATTTCTGACAACTTCCAATTTTCCTAGATTCATACTTCACACATTCCATGTTTCAAATATTAATGGATGTTTGTTGCTGTTTCTTTCAATTTTGAATTATGCCCCATCAGCAAATGGAGGTCCTGAAAGCTTTGCTCCATCTATCAACTCTACTTTGAAGAGGTAGCTCTTCCCCAGTCGTATTTTGAATGCCTTCCAACATGAGAAGCTTATCTTCCAGCACTATATCAAACAGTGTTTCAGGGCTATTCATAAAGTTTTCCAGTATTATATCAGATAATGTTTCACTGCTATTCATAAGGTTTTCACTGACCAATTCTTTTAGAAGTAGATGGCCCCATCCTTATTCCCAGTTGATCTTAGTCTGGAAGCTCTGCTGAAACCTGTCCACTTTGGGTGACCCTGTAGATACTTGAAATACCAGTGGTATAGCCTTCAGCCTCATAGCAACACACAACCCACCACAGTATGACAAACTGACAGACAAGTGGTGGTTGTAGACTTCCAAAATGGAATTTTTGTGTCATATGTTGAGGGGTATACTTTTCATTTAATGGGTGATACCAGATGACTATTCTAAAAATGGTTAGAGCAGGGCACTTTCCCATATCCTCACCAGCAGTGAGTGTTACTGATCTAGTATTTTATTTTTTACCTCTTATCTTTTACTTTATTTTTAAATACCTTCTTGTGCTTTACATGAAAATTTAAATAGCAAATTTGTTTTCTAGTCAATAATTAATATACAAATTGTTCCATGACATTTGTTGCAATCCCCACATTGTGTGAACATGCTCCCATTTCCTCTCTGGACTCCTTATTTCCATTTGTCCAGTTTCCCTGTCCCTCCCTGCCTTATCATCTTTGACTTTTGGCAGACGTTTCCCTTTTGATCTCGTATAGTTGATTGTTCTAAAGAACACATTCTTCATGGGTGTTATTGTTTATTTTATAGGCCATTCTGATATTTGGCTGAAGGGAATATCTTCAGTTTCAATTTAGAAGGTTATCTTAGAGTAATGGTCTTGAGGATTCCTCTAGTCTCTTTCAAACCAGAAAGTCTGGTCTTTTTTTCTTTCTTAAATTGAATTTGGTTCTACAT